TGAAGAGCAGAAATACAATTGAAAAGGGAGAGAGGACGTGTTTTAGGTGTGATAAAAATTCAGCCAAATCATCGTGCAAAAGAAAGACTCTACAGATTTTGCTCGCATGGGAGGAGATGTGATTGACAAAGGGAACCCACACCTGTTACCGAAGAAGAACCGTCATGGAAGGTAATCCCTTAGCTTTCTCAATGCATTCAATTGTGGTATTACTTCGGATAAAACGTTGAAAATTAGAGGTCACATTGGAAAGGAAAGGTAATGTGGTTGGTTGATAGCGGAGCGTTACATAATTTATCTCATGAGCTGGTGCAAAAATTGGGGATACGGTGGAAGGAGGGAAAATTTTCGGCGTAATGGTAGGTAACGGGGTACGGTGAGAAGGAAAGGATATGTGAGGAGTGCACATGCAAATACGGGGGTGAGGGTTACAAGATTATTTTCCTTTTGATTTAATGGAGCTGATGTGGTGTTAGGGGTATCGTGGTTGAGTTCTCTGGGTGACGTATGTGTGATATGGAGGAACTTAACCATGATTTGAGTGGATGGGAAACGGTGTTATTGAAGGAAATCCCTCTTGGTAAAAACTGTAGTCTTCTTAAGCCATGCTCGGGTCGGTGCAAACAACAGGGCTGGTTATTTGGTGGAGTTCTACTCATTGAAAAATAACCAGAATTAAGAGGAAGTGGACCCTAGGGTATTGGAAAAGTTTGAACACTTGTTTGACCAACCAACTGGGGTACCTCCTAAAAGGAGGATGATCATCAAGTCTTAAGGAAGGATCTCAACCCCCAACATTAGAACCTAAGGCCTTATTTCAAAGAACGAGATTGAGAAGTTGGTAGGAGAAATGCTAGTGCTGGAATCATCCAACCCAGCACCACCCGCACCAACCCCGCTGCAGCTGTGTTATTGGTTAAAAAAAAGATGATAGCGGAGGTTTTGTGTGACTATAGAGCCCTTAATAGCATCACCATACCCTACAAATTCATCCTTACCATTGATGAGCTCCAAGATGAGTTAATCGGGGCAACAACTTTCTCCAAACTTGATTTTAAGTCTAGATACCACCAGATTAGAGTCAATGATGAAGATATACCCAAAACAGCCTTTAGGACACATGAGGGCCATTATGAATTTTTATGATGCCTTTTGGCTAACCAATGCCCCATCCACCTTCCAAGCACTTATGAACACTATTTTCAAATCCCTCAGAAAATTTGTCCTAGTCTTCTTTACGACATCTTAATTTAACAGTCCAACTGAACACCCATATACTTCACCTCTCCAAGCCTTTAAAATTTTGCAAGAACATAGTTGGGGTTAATCACAAGAAATGTTTTTGGTTAGGGGAAAACTGGAATATGGGTCATTAGTGTCGCCAAAGGAGTTGAGGTGGCCCTCAAAAGATCGAGGCAATGGTGACGTGGCCAGTTCCGACTAGTGTGAAAGCTAAGGGGATTGGGTCTCACTGTTACTATATGGAGGTTCGTGAAAGGGTATGGAACCATCGCAAAACCATTAACTCAGCTTCTTAGAAAAGATTTAGTTGGATGAAAAGGCCACAAGCCTTGAACACTAAAAACTCCATGATTACTCCCAGTTCTGGTCACTCCTAATTTTGCTATTCCATTTGAGGTCCAGACAGATGCATGGGCAAAGACTTGGGTGAGGGTGGGCCAACAATCTTGGCCAATTGCATACTTAAGCAAGCTTGTTCTCCCCAATCCAAGCAAAAGTCAGTTTATGAAAGGGAGCTCATGCCATAGTCTTGCAGTGCACAAGTGGAGCCATTACCTTTGGGTAACAAGTTCATAATTAAGACTGACCAAAGGAGCCTCCAGTTCCTACTGGACCACGTATGAAAACACCAGAACAGCAAAAATGGATCTCAAACTCATGGGATTTACCTTCGAGATCCTGTACTACCGTGCATACTAATAAGGTGGCTGATGCCTTATCTTTGGGAAGAAGAGGTGAATAAGCCATCACAATGGTACAGTTCACAGATTATGAAGACCTTACCTCCGAGGCACACATGACCCCAAGTTGCAAACCATCATCCAAGACTTGTTATTTGACCCAAGTTGCAAGCCTCATTATCAACTCCACAGAGGCTGCCTGCTGTACAAAAGCAGGTTGGTTTATTCCAAAATTGTTAGAGGAGTTTCATTTTAGCCTTGGTGGTGGTCATTCGGGTTCTTTAGGACCATAAGAAAGTGGCGGGTATTGCTTATTGGGAAGGCATAAAAAGGGATGTCCAGAATTATGTCAAAAATGTCCATTTGCCAAACAAACAAGCACTCTCTTGAAACCTGGAGGTTTGCTACACCTTACCTATTCCCAATCAAGTCTTTGAAGACATCACTAGGAGTTTCATTAGGGGATGCCGAGATCCAAAGGTTTTGACATTTTTGGTCGTTGACAGGCTAACTAAATATAGGCACTTTATTTTGCTGTCTCATCCCTATAATGCTAAGGAGTGGCTGCATTTTTGTGAAGGAGTCGTAAAACTGCATGGTTTCCGCACTTAATTTTAGATAGTGACAGGTTGTTTATGAGTCAGTTTAGCAAGAATTATTCAAGCCAAGCACAACTCTAAAGTTCAGTTTCCCTACCATCCTCAGACAGAGGGACAACCGAGGTAGTTAACCGTTGTTGAAACTTATCTTAGGTGTGTTTGCAGTTCAAAACTCGATAGTGGCCTAAATGGCTACCCTGGGTGAATTCTGGTACAACACTACATACCACAGTCCACCAAGATGATCCCTTCAAAACTCTCTATGCAGGGAACCACCATCTACTAAAATATACTGAAGCCCTTCTTCAGTGGAAGATGTTAACAGGCAATTGTTGGAGAGAAATGCATCCTTAATGACCTTAAGAGTAATTTATCGGTAGCCCAAGGACACATGAAGCAGGCTGCTGATGCCCACAGAAGAGACTTACATTCCAAGTAGGGGACTTTGTTTACTTAAAGTTGTAGCCATCAAGTTCAAGTCCTTGGCAAGAAGTAAATGAGAAACTGAGTCCTAGATTCTATGGCCCTTTTAGGGGGGTAGCAAAAATTGGCCAAGTGGCCTACAAATAGCACTACCAGCTACTCGCACGCATATACACCAGTTTTCCACGTCTCCCAACTCAAAAGAAGTCTACACAGTTCAATTCCCACTCAACCTGTACCCCCTTTCTCATGAAGATTTGGAACTTGTAGTGCAGCCAAACAGTGCTCTCTTCTCGCACTGTCGATGGGTCCAAGGAGGTCCTAATTCAATGGAAGGACCTTCCTCCTTTTGAAACCACTTGGAGTCTTATGATGATATTGTCCACCAATTTCCTCAATTCTCCTTGAGGACAAGGTGGCACTTCAAGAGGGGGTGGGGTTGGTATATTGATGATACACCACCCATTACTAAAGATATCAGAGGCAAGGGAGAGGACCAGAGGCCACGGGAAGGGCGTGACTAGAGCCATGGAATTAGTTAGGATCTATACAAGTGTCTTAGTTTAGTAGGTTGCTTTTGGGAAATTCATGTGTGCATATAAAAAGGGGAGTCTCGCTCGTAAAAGGGCAGATTGTATTTTTGTAAAAGGAATCCTATGGGAGGTCGCTAACTCCTCGAATTGTTAGCAACTCTATTTTCTAATTTTGTCCTTCAATTCTGCATTACTGTTATTCATTTCAAGAACGTTGAATCAATATAATCTTTAATTGAGTGTTTCATGTTGATTCTGTGTATTGAGATCGCTGGATTGTTTGAATTGAGTTGCTGGAATTATTACTTGAGTTGAGGTCTGTATCAGTTACCAGTTAGACCACAACTCATAGTTCAAGGGACTATTCTCTAAGTGCCCTCATTTCTGTATCTCTTTCCAAGCTGGTGATATCGTTCAGCAGTTGATTTTTCATTTCATCTACAGCAAATGTTTATGTGATGGACCATCTGTGCATTCTGGAGCTAATCTTGTACCAATTATATTTATTTTCATGCAGCAAGTCATCCTATGCTTTGCAATCTCAGGAAAACATTGGTACTTGAAATGCATGTATTGAAGCGGATGAAATGTTATATATAGATTCATCGGAATTCACAATGTACAAGTTCTTGTAGCAAAAGAATTTTTTTTTTTTTTTTTTTTTTTTATCTCATGTTTCAAGATCATAAACAACAATCCCTGAGAAAAATTTGTAAACTTTTCGAGTACATGAAGGATCACTTGTAAAATTTTCCGTATGCCATGTCCTGATAAATCATATGGCAGGGTGAATGTGACTCTCCCACTTCTATTAATGTGCTTTGACACTTGATAGTTTTCGTACTCACTGTAATGTGGAAAATTTAAGGATATGAGGATCCATCTGTTTGTTTTGGGTGTGTGAAATTAATGGGGTAAAACCCTTCAACTTTATAGTACATTTATGCAAATTTCAGTGACTGAAGTAAGCGACAATGTTGGCGTATAAGAAGAAAAGTCTAAACTGGAGTTTGTGTGGTTTGATGTATAAATGGCCAACAGTTAGAGCTTCATTATGGGCTGTGGTATTCCTCTTGTAGTTATATGGGTTGCCAGTCATTGTTTTATCAATAACAATCTCGGCCAGGCCTTTCAAAAGAAAATATATGTCTCTTTAAGAAGAAGAGTTTATGTTTGCCTGCAAAATAGTTGGACCACTTTTAACTCTCTTTCTTTCGTCATGAATCTTTGATTATCTGGGTTGAGTTTTCACTTTTAAGACAACTCTTAGGTAACAGTTTATCAAATTTTAAATTTTAAATTTCAAGTAATTCTCTTCAAAAGTCTAATTCTTATTTTTTTTTTTTAAATCAGAAAAGAACAGAATTTAAGATTAATTAAACCCAGCCTGAAAAATGTCCTGGCTGCTTCATTATACTTGTAATTAGAGAAAAATATGCAACATCAACACTAGAACACGAATTAAACAAAGACAGCAAAGCCAAATTCATTAAAAATATTCCAGTGATACAACACAGAAAAAAAAAAAAAAAAAAAAAAAAAAACTAAAAAACACTACTTACAGACACCAAAAGTGGAATAGAAATAAAAAGGATGAGTCCAAACGAAAGAGACGTAATCAGCTAGCAATAACTGTTTTGGATAATGCAGATGATGATACATAAAACCATCAACCCCTACATTTCATTACACTGTTTTCTGAATTCAAACCCTAGAGCCAGCCACTGCACCACCTCCCTTGTGCCCTGCTGGGCCCGCACCGGCCGCCCCCACGCCGTAGTCGGTGTCTCTGTACCCGGGTCCATACCTGCTGCTAAACATTCCAGCATGAAGCAACAAGAGATAGAGAAATTGAGTGAATGTTAGGATTATGATAAATGCCTCAAGAATCCTCAGTCTCCACCCTCTGTGCCCTCCTACGTTTATCTCCTTGCACGCCAACCTGCACAAATTGCAAACATTCAAACATTTTAATTGCTTGAAATTCTATGTTGTATGAATAACTCATCGATGCAATCACAATACGCTGACGCCATCATGCGTCGGCGTATGAATTTAATATGTTGACGCAGATGGCATTGGAGTGATGGTATTCGAAACAGACTACAGAAATTTGTCAATACGCCGACACCTTGAAAAGATTAAGATGAAGTAAAAAGATTAAAATACCCAAAAGCTAGAGCAGTGAAGGCCCATGCCACTAACGAAGACGATCCTGCTGAAGCTAGACTATCATTTCTCCAAGCTCTGATGTGGTTGGCTCCCACCAGCTTTGAAGCTACCCCAGTAACAGCGGCTAATATGGAAAAGATCAGAAAGAACATTGTTGCACCATTTCCTACAAAACCTGAAAATTAAATGTATTTTTGGTCAGTACAAATAATTAAGTTCAAAACGAAAACAAACACACACACACAAAAGGATATATCATAAATATAATCTGAAAACTTACTAGGGTGATGAGTTTGGCCATTGATGAACCTGTTGAGACACCAGCTAGAAAACCCGAGAACGATAAGATACATAATCAGGTTGAGAAACAACAATGGAGCCGCTATGTTTCTTCCCACAGTCTGAGCCATTTTGATTCAGTTTCTTCAAACTTCAAACTTCAAACCGACAAGAAAATTTCAACGTCGTTGTTTACTTTTTGCAAGCCTGCAAATTCTTGACTACACCTCTTCAAGTCTTTCTTTGTGCTTTCGGTAAGGCTGAAGATCCTGGTCGCTATGTTAATATAGAGGTGCTAAGTGTATGGAGAAGTGATACGTGGACGGCAATTAGGGTTTGTATGCTTGCTTCTGGGTACAGGTGGTGGGACATGTGTCAAAATGGGTCTGACGTTTCCCATGAAGCTGTCTTTCTTGGGAATCTCGAAGTTTATTTAGGAACGGTGCATATCCATAACCAAAATGGATGTTGTCTCCAACTTTTCTTGTCGGTAAATATGATTGTCAGATGATCAACGGCCTTGATTAATCTTAGTTGGTGAAAGACAAGTTATTACTGGAATATTCAATCATATATGAACTGCCATAATGAATGAAATGCATTGAAGAGATTTGGATTTACATCAACCTTTTGATATTTTCTTTTGCAATATATGTTTACAAGTGTATAACAGTATAAGATATAAAGAGAAGCTTATGGTAAGGATTAATGTGTTACATCAAACTATTACATTTTGTAAACTTTTATAACAACGAAACACTAATAGTTTCTAAATACAAAAAATAAAAAAGCAAAAAGCAAAAAAGTTGAAAGGAAAATAATTGTCTACCTTTTCCTTTCACATCTGTTAAATATAAAGCGAGAAAAAGAGGGAAAACCCTATTTCCTAGCATTCCTCCATATTTTTTTTTAAATAAAACTTATTTATTAAATAAAATTTAAAGTTATACCACTTACTGTTGGGCCCATCTCAAGTCATTGGGCCTCTTAGGCTGTATTTTTATATATTTTTACTTAATATAACGTGAGATATGATATACAATAAGGTCAATCCAAATATATAATGTCATTCATTTTAGATCTCAAGAATTTAAGTTATGATTAAAAAGTACTCTTACATATTCGTCTTTGCCTAATTTTTTTTCAATAATTAAAAAATTATTCCAAAATTCATCGTTTAATTTCATAATCTACTTAATTTTATATTGGCTGGGGCTTTTTTTTTGTTTTTTTGGGCTATATATATATTCTCCCTTATAACAATGCGTTTTATATCTTCAATTTTTTTATTTAATGTTTTCCTACTTTAGGATTAATTGATTATCATCGAGATAGGATTCTTAAAAAACAAAAAAAACTTTTGGACCAGATAAGTAAAGATATATTACACTAGTCTAATTTTTCAATGTTTAATAGCTAACACTATGTTATACTCTTATGAATACTGGTTTAATGTAAAAGTTATATATATTTAAAATAAAAAGAAATTTAACTAGTGAGGATGATGAATATAAAGAAAAAAAATTCTAGAAATGTCTTTTGTCTACACTTTGATTTTTAATTGGGGTGATTTTCATTGCATTTTTATCATGATATGCTAAGAAATATATTGTTGCGCACAATTAAAGTAATCTGATTGACCTTGACGGAATCGAAACCGATAAATGGGTGATTAATTAAAATCAACAAGAAAATTAAGTAAAAGGACAATAACGTTTTTTAAAGTGGTTTGACGAGATATCTCTCAAGCATACATCTATTGTTCTTGTATTAGATATAAAAGATTACAAGAATAAACTCTTTGTTCTCTTTCTAAGATTGCTAACCCATCACAGTGAATTTTTTTGTGGTTATATATACATGAATTTGATAACGGTAAATGGGAGATTTTAGGGATTGTGGCTTAAACATAGGAAGTTAATCCCATGATTAGCTCAATCGCGCTAAATCTATGATTACGTGATCTGATGCTAAACTTATCTCCTTGATTATATGGGATAAGACTTATCTGTGATCTATGAGACAACTGTCTAGATAGCTCGCTTTGTTTGTTGCACTGAGCTTCATTTTCTCCGAGTAATCTTTAATTTTGAGCTTGTCGTAAACTCTCACACAACATTTGCTCCTACTTTTTGGAGGTCGTGTCAAGCTTCGAAAACTACGAGTTCTTAGAGACATGTTGTCAGGGTGCAAGTTGTTGATGGATCAAGCTGACTTGTGTGTTAGGCCTTGATAAGCTTTGCTAAGCTTACGGGTGCAGGCTTCTTGGCGACCTATTGATGGTCAACAGATGACCCAGGACGAGCTTTGACTTGTTACGATCATGCTCTGTCTAGCGATGTAACCAAGACTTGAGAAATAACACCTAGTTGGCTTTAATTTGAATTTGGCTCTTGAGGGCAAAAATGTAATTTTTGTATGGCCACATCATGCATTTAATGCGCCAACAGGTGAGCAGTCACCCTGATTGCACATTTAATGTGGTAGCAGGAACATGCGCATGCCAATTGAAATAATGGGTTACGACATTTCTCTTTTCAAAACAGTAGTTATGCTATCATTGTAGATCGCTACCACATGGCCCAAATAAACGGATGAGATCGTTGAAGAGATTGAAGGGTTAAGATCTTTTGCGAGAATGAACGATCACAATCATGTCCCGCTTAAGGTGACTTGCTATAAAATGAACTCTTAGCCAAAATTAGAAAAGCCCTTGCAAAATCTCCCTTTTTTTTTTAACTAGAAAAATTGGTCTCGATCTCGATTGCGCAAATTCTGATTTCATGGTGATTTTCCAACGACTCTTCCTAGTTTCTATTCTTAAGTGAGTTTTTGTTCTTCACTACTTCTTTCATTCTTGTTTTTGCTTGGCATTGTTGTGGTTGCTATGTTTGTGATGAAATGGATTGAACGGAAGTTCTCTTTGATGAGTCTTACATCAGGAAAGTTGTGTAGGGTAGTCAGAGTCTAGGCTAGTTGTAGTAGCTCATCATTTGGGACTGTAGGCAAGTGTAGGTAGGTTAACTATCTCGGCTTAGATAGCTCATAACACTTATCCTTTTCAGGTATCTAAAGACAAACTTATCAACATGGAATCCATGGACCAAAGCATTGAGAGGTTTTTCGATGAAACCTCCACAATAGTTCGAACTGAAATCAAGGAAAGAGTTCAAAATAAACTCGTTGCCAAAGTCTTGGATAGGAGTTAGTCTAGTGGGGTAGAGCTCGATTTTGATGTAAATTCTGATGAAGATTCTGTCAAGGTAGTTGAACCTGAGGACGTCGTGCCTCTAACGGTCATCCGAGTAGAGAAGAGTTCGGTCTCCATGGTAACCTTAGAAGAATTAAATGAATCAAAGACGAGTATGGGATTTCTATTCTGCTTCGCTACTCCAGCGGCTACTCGTCGAGGGATTCGCCCATGGGTTAGGTTGCAATCTCCAAGGTTATATTGAAGTGCGAAATGTCAGTCTCACCCACCCTTTCATTGCCAATGTGCTAAAGCAATTCAACGTCAACCTATTTCAACTAACAGCGAATTCGTGCATAATTATGATGAAAATGTACCTCGCTTCCAGGAAAGGTGGATTGGACGAGCTATTTGTTGAGAAGCTCGTACATGTATGCTACCTTAAGAAAAAGAAAGGTGGGACTTACTACCTCACCAAAGCCAAAAAGAGCTTGATAAATGGACTGGTCGATATCCTGAATAAAATAGGGAATTGGGACACCGACCACTTTTTCTTTTACTATGACTCCTTAATGGAGGAAGCCTATATGTGATCATTGATGCTAATTTTCAAATTCATAATTCGTTATTTTTTACTTCTAACAATCTATCTTTCCTGTCTCTAACAGTTTACCGTGATCAAAATTTCCTTCCTCATCCTCTCAAGCCCGAATTCTTCAATTGAGCGGGTTATTCGAAGACTATGCACTGAGGAATCTTATTACGCTTAAGAATTTAATCAAGAGCGGATTCTTTCCCCCTTGCACATTTCAAGCCAACTTTTCCTAAAAAGAAAAAGAGTTAATGTTTTTTACCTTGCTTTCCGTTTGGTAGTTTTCTATCTTTTCTAACCTTGGCTCACATGCCGATCTTACAGAGATGCTTGCCCCCAAAACAAAGTCATACCAAAAGGGTAGGGCCCTTACTTCATCAAGCGCAAGGAGACCTACCTCAGAGCCCAGGGATTCATGGAGACAAGACTTGGAGCAAGGGCGTCAAAGAGGATCGAGCCTGCAAAAGAAAGACTATGTTGTTATGAGCTCTCAGACGGGCTTAAAAAAACCTTCGTCCAAGCTTTATGAAAGCTTGAAAAAATTGGCTGAAAGGCCTAAAGAGATGGAAAGAAGCTTGTCATCGATGAAGAAAGTTAGGGTGGATTATTCGTCACTCTCCACCCAAAAGCCATCAATTGAGCAGGCTACAACTTCAAAGGCCAAAGGGAAGAGCATGGAAACTGATGAGCTAATTGTCTAGTTGCCTACTCACATTTCCTCGGGGGGCGTACACATTGCACGAGACTCTTCCTGAGAATCTCTAAAGTTCAAGAACTTGCCTCCTCATCGTAAATTGCAACAGGGCAACATAATGCTTGCTAAGGTAAACTTGGTTCCTTCTCCTTTGCTTATTCCTTGTTTGATCAACATTTATTTTCTCTCCACTCTAACTATGCCTTTTTGTCCTTTTTGGGGTACAAACCTATAGCATTTTTAATCTACTATATCATGAGAGTTATGCCACACTCGAGCAGTCTGATCAGGTCTACGAGGAAGCTGAGTTGATCAAGAAATCTTCTGAGGAGAAGATTAAAAAATTGAAGAAGGAAATCGATGTCTTAAAAGTTGAGCTCACCAAGCAGCTCGAGGTATCAAGGGCCCAGGCAGTCGAAAAGAGGAGCTTACGGCCTAGTTGCACAAGAAGGTGTCTAAGAGTGGCCACCTCCATGATGAAAGGGAGAAGCTTATTGGCTTGAGTGCCAAGCCTTACGAAAAGTCCAAGGGCATACAATTCGACCTAGAGGATACGCAAAAAGAGCTTAATACGCTTAAGGTCGAGTTGTTGTAGGTTCTAGAGACTTGTGCTGAGCTTAAAGCTGATGTCGTGAGGTTGGGGGGTGACCTCAAAGTCGAGGAAGTAAAGGCTTGGG